TTCCGTATGTTACTTGAAAAATCATTTTTTATAGTCATTGATAGAAGATGGTTTCTAAAATCAGGTAGGCCTACATGATTGAAGTTTTGGTCTATAAAAGACATAACATTATATAGGGCAGGGAATTATAGTGTTCTATAGTAAGTGCAAAATATCTCTTAATTAGATTACAACAACAAAAGATGGATGCCAGCTTGTTAAAAGTAATTTGTAATTAAATCTACTATAAAATATGAAGCTATTTTGGCCTAGATGAGTTATAACTACCTTTTATGATAAGCACCAAAGCTGAACTGTAAAAATAAAATAGTTGATTGAAAGTTACAACATAGTATTATTGTTTGATTATGAATATGAGAAAAATAACAAAATATGTTCTTCCAATGTTTATGGACCAGGGTCCTTAGTTAAAATAGTTATTTCTAGCCAACTGCTTTAATTTTAGAACTTTATTTTCAAAGATATTTGTTTTCTACCTATTTGATTATTTATTTTAAAAACATGCAATTTCAACATAAGTGTATTTTTTTTTAATTACCATTGTTTCTATTTGCAAAAAGTATTTATTTGTTTTTTATTATTGTTGTTTTTCACATTGAAAAAAACTAGTTTCACACTTTTGCTGTTATTTCTTTACTTACACCTAAATAAACTATATTATATATATATATAACAAATTGCAAATTCATACATTCTATATGTGTTGTGCAGATATATTAATTGAGATTATAGCAAGCTGCTAAAACATGCTGTCCTAGTACGAAAGGGTGAAAAACAAAGATACAAGGATAAATGTAATGTTGTATAAGGTTGACAATATTATGACAATACAAATATAAAGAACTGTTAAAATGATTTTTAAATTTATATATAATGTACTTATTGTTTTACTGTGGATCAAATCAAAATGTAAGGGCAATTAAGCTTAATCTCCAAAATACATATATATATAACACAGTTTTAACCTTTCACCAACATCATTACTGATTTGATTATTAAAACTATCTAAAATAGCTTAATAAACATAATTTTTGATCCACTGATTAAAAATAAAAAATATTTAATATATTAGCAAAATTTTAAAAAATTATATATATTTATCTACATATTATCATATTTTTTCTTTTTTAATTTAAGAAAAAGATGAACAGTTACTTAATATTTGCCTGTAAATAAAAGCAATGCATTCAAAAACGTTTATACTTACATGAGAAAAGTTTGATTGGTTCTGTTGTCGAATGACAAATTTGACTATTTTTGACACCATGGTAGAGTTCACAATGGCATAGGCCTTTAAAATGCAATTGATATTGCCATTGTTTGTAATAAGTTCACTGTCAGCAATGCGTATAGATGAACCATCAAACAAATCCTTAGCTGTTCATAAAAGATTACAAATGATTAGAAATATACATATTCTAGACATCTTTAAAGATAAACAGGTAGGCTATAAATATGAAGAGCAATAGCACCTAGTAAATTACAATAAAATATCACATTAGAAATTATTGATAAAATTGCAAAGAGAGCAGCCTCAATGTGGTTTGATGACAAAACGTTAGATGATGTCAGTGTGTGAGAATGACTTCATGAACCGTGAAGATTTTGTTTGTGGATATTAACATTTATTTTATTAAGTGATATGCCAGAGTTTCAAAAATTCTGTTAGCAGTGATATTGTTCTAGCGCTTATTTAATAAGTTATCTTCATATTTATCTTCTTAGTCTATCTGGTGATTGACGTCTAATTAATCTATCTGTTGATAGATATTAGAGATTCTCACTACTTGTAAAATTTACTCATTTTTGGTTTTGAAAAAGATTACTGGATACTAGAGATCCATTTCAAATCCATCAGATACATTATCTAGGGGTTCTAGTTCATTTGAGATAATTTATTGAATTTTAATTTTGGGACTCACAGCCAATGCAAAACTAACTCATCTTTTATGCAGTAGATGAGAGCTTTGGAGGAGGCATGGAGCAGGCAAACTATCATCTCCATGATAGTGTAGGAATTCCAGCTGCCATGAACAGTCATGAAATGATTCATTCAGCGCACCCCACTTGAATTTTTTTTTTAAAAGAAAAACAAACTTTTAAAACAAACCCCATGATTCACTTAATCTGAATCAGAGTCATAAAAATTATGAGGCAGTTTCTTTCTAGAGAAAAGCTCATATGCATAATAAATTATTAAAACCAAATATATTTTTTTAAAAATAGCATTGATTTGGAGCCATTCACGTGCATTGAGATTTCCCTCTGTTCACTTTCTGTGCAGGAATATTAAACCAAAAAAATTGACAATGACTGCTTAGATTCCATACCCATGCCCCACTTGAGTGATTAGATAAAAAGCTATCATCTTGGCTAAGAACCCTCACATAAGAAATGGTAAAAATATTTTTTATTATTAACATACTTTCCATAATCCTAAAGTAAAAATCTTGTTTTAATATAATTATATCTTCACTTAACCTATTTCAATGTTAAGAAACAAAGATTGATATGAAATATTAAAGACCTGAAAAAGTTCAGTTTAAAATTATTTTTTGTGTTTTAATCTCTAATTGAATATCTTCGACAGACGAAACAAATGGCTTAAGTCTATTTATCGCTTGTATTCTCGAATTAAATAATTGATAATAGTGTTGAAGCCTAAAAGAAACAACAAACAGTTATAACATTACAACTATAGCTAAAATCTAATAATGCATTATTGCAGTGTAATGAATTAAATTAAACATAGCAAGTGACAAAAATTAACATATTTTAAAGCAAAGCAGGCTTGTGCAGTGCTATCACTGCTGACCTTTGCCCTGACCCATGAGCTAAGTTCAATTAGGCTTTTTACACCCTGTCCTTATAGATAGATAGCTATGGGTAGAGGGGGCGGCAAATTCAAAGTGATGAGTTGCAATGCCTCTGATATATAGGGATAAATATATGAGCCTACATATATATATATATATATATATATATATATATATATATATATATATATATATATATATATATATATATATATACATATACATATACATATATATATATATATATATATATATATATATATATATATATATACATATACATATACATATATATATATATATATATATATATATATATATATATATATATATATATATATATATATATATATACATATACATATATATATATATATATATATATATATATATATATATATATATATATATATATATATATATATATATATACATATATATATATATACATATATATACATATATATATATGCTAAAATACATAATGCATTTTCTTGGCACTTCGCCTGACCAGGAAACCTGCATATGCCCTGACTGGCTGCCAGAGGTGTAGCGACCCTTCCCAGTGCCAAACGGAGACAAACTTTCGATTTGCACCCCCTCCCCTCAAACTTTTGATTTGCACCCACCCCCCACCGACCCCCCCCCCTAAGGGTAGGACTAAGCCTGGTTTATTTTGAGCAGTCGAGATTGTAGATTTATTTAAAACTGGTCTACTGGTAGGCCTAACTAGTTGTTTAATTAAAAAAAAGCCACCCAGCCTCAAATAAAAAAACTTAAGTAAGGCTAATGATGTTTGGCCATCAATAACTTTAAGGAACTCATCAGTTTCAGTGTAATATAAAATCGTCCTTAGGCCTATATGTTATCATGCATGTACTGTGAGTACAGACTGGTGCGAGTGAATATTGATGCAGAGTATGCTGATGTGATGCGCATAGAAAGATAGTGGCATAAAAGGTAAAAGAACATGCTAAAATACATAATGCATTTTCTTGGCACTTCGCCTGACCAGGAAACCTGCATATGCCCTGACTGGCTGCCAGAGGTGTAGCGACCCTTCCCAGTGCCAAACGGAGACAAACTTTCGATTTGCACCCCCTCCCCTCAAACTTTCGATTTGCACCCACCCCCCCACCGACCCCCCCCCCTAAGGGTAGGACTAAGCCTGGTTTATTTTGAGCAGTCGAGATTGTAGATTTATTTAAAACTGGTCTACTGGTAGGCCTAACTAGTTGTTTAATTTTAAAAAAGCCACTCAGCCTCAGATAAAATACTTAAATAAGGCTAATGATGTTTGGCCATCAATAACTTTAAGGAACTCATCAGTTTCCGTGTAATATAAAATCGTCCTTAGGCCTATATGTTATCATGCATGTACTGTGAGTACAGACTGGTGCGAGTGAATATTGATGCAGAGTATGCTGATGTGATGCGCATAGAAAGATAGTGGCATAAAAGGTAAAAGAACATTGTTGCTATAGAATGTAAGCTAGTGAGTTAGGGATTATACTGTTGATGTGTCCTGTCAATGACTAGTCCACTCGAAGAAGACTAGAATGATGTTTGTAATGTTTTGAATAAAGACTAGAATATGAAGGACTATGAATCTTGTCAAATATATTGTGATGTCTGGGAACAAGTGTTAACTTTCTATGGAGTGAATGTTGGTATTGGGTGATAATCATTATCATAATGGTATGAAAAAGTGAAGCCTCTCACAGTGAACCCTAACATTATTAACTTATTAATTATTAAGTAATATTAAGTGTTATTATGGTTACTAAGTTTACTAAGTTAGGCCTACTTTATGAGTATATGGGGGTCATCCATAAATGGTGTAACGCTATTTTGACAATTTTTTACCTCCCTCCCCTCCATCACACATTGTCACAAAAAGCCAGACCTCTCCCCCCCCCCTACCAAAATGATGACACACCTCAGCCTGCCTACATTTTTTTTTTAAATCTTGTCTGAACTCTGTCAACATAGTGTATTTCAATCAATTCCTATTACAGTTTATTAAAACAGTTTTCTAAAACGCGAAATAAAGGCTAAATTAAATTTTCTAATATAACTTTTTAATGCTGCAAAAGTTTGAGGCCACACCAATGGCGAGGGATGGGGGGGGGGGGGGGGGGGGGGGTGAGGGGTGCAGACTGCACCATTTATGGGGGTGACACCAAGGCAAAAAATAGCAAAATATATAGAGAAAAGTGATAATTCCACTTAATTAAGTGATTAATTTGAGTGTCAGAAAGTCTTTTAAGAGCAAATTTGACAAATCCCCACAAGGGTGGAGTAGGGAGTGCAAATCAAAAGTTTGAGGGATGGGGGTGCAAATAAAAAAAATAAAAAATTGAAAGTTTGTCCCCGGGCGCCAGGAAGGGTGGCTACGCCTCTGGGGGGCGACACCATTAAGTGCCGCACTGGGTGACACCCTCGCTACGCCACTGGGTCACACCATCTGACACCCCTCCCCCTCAACACACACTGTCACAAAATTACAGACCCTCCCCCTCCCCCATACGAGTGTGACATCATTTTTGGACGACCGTTATGACTGACTATAGTCCTATAGGCTATAGTACGCTATACTATACCACTATATTCACTATATGGCTATGGCCTACAGCACGATTGATTACTTATTTTAACTTATTTATTATTTATATTTAAAATTAGAATGTGCAGAGGGCTACCCTACCAAGACGAGTTCCAAGAACAGTCAAGTTCATCATGCAGATCAATGAGAGTATTGCGAACATCCCTTTCAGTTTTCGTATATTCAACACCATTGTCATTTAGTACTAGATCTAGATAGATCTAGTATGTAGATACATTTAGGCCTACAATGCCAATGTAACAATTTACTAAAATTTGCTCAGTACTAAAGCCTTGCGTGTAGACCATTCTATTATTAGAATATTATTAGATTCTAGATCTAGTACCTAAAGGGGATTTCCCGAAGAAAAGGTAAAAACCCAAGCTGGTAGGCCTACTTTTTTTGGTTAGTCTAATTCCATAGCGACAAGTGAAACAATTAAAAACACTGAGTCTATATGAGTATGAGTAATATAAATTAATCCAACCAATATGATCATTATGGGAGTCGTGGCAAAAATAAATTTAAAATGTTTAACCATTGTGTTTTAGCTTATTTATCTAATTCTTAATCGTAACCATTTGAAAATATAGGCCTAAGCATATTTTTTTTTTTAAATTACGGCTCAGCCTCAACGACCGAGTGAAACTAAAAATACTAAAAAAAACATTTTAAAATATCAAAAATTGCAAATAAGTTATAAAAGTTATTAGCGGCTGTTTTTTACACACATTATCTTAGAATCTATAAATTTATAGTATACAATGTTAAGATGATCCCTAATAATATAAAACACTATGCTGACTTTTAAAGTTTAAAGCTATTAAAGATTTAAAGTATTAACCAGGGCCGATGCTACCTATAAAGCGAAATAGACGGTTGCCTAGGGCGCTGTCCATAGGGGGCGCAAAAAATTTGAAATTGCCATTATTAAAAAGTAAGTAATAATTGATAACTGATTATATTACATTAACTATACACATTAACTATATACAAAGGCGTAACAATCTATGCAGGTGCCCAGGACGAACTATCAATTTTTGTGCCCCATCTTGGACGTTGGTGAAAATGTGCCCCCACCTCCCTCATTTGAAAAGGTCGGGGCGCTTTTGACAAGTGTTTCTTCCAGGGGGCGGTAGAGATGCCTGGAAGTAACTCTGTTTTTAACAGTCACTTTGCCTTTTTATTTTTGTGTCATACAATTGATGTAGAAAACAATTAAATAAGTCTGTAATGCCAAGTAGCAGTTCACATTCTTTATTTCGACTGTATATAATAAATGTAATGAGCTGTTTATATTATTTCGTTTGCGCCCTTTTTGTGTCAGCGCATAACACAGGCCGTTTAGGGGGGGTACAAATGTGACAAAAAATAATATTTTTTGCACCTTGATAGAATAGTGGTTTTGTAAAATCAAAAAACTAATCGATTGCAGCAGTCATTGTTCTACAGTAGCTAAAACACACTGTTGCGTAGAGAAAAAAACTGCATAGGTTTTTTTTATGAAAAATAGGCAAAAATTTAAACCACTTCCATGGATTATTCTCTCCTTTAAATAGTCGAATCGGGATGCCGATAAAACTAATTAAAATAGTTTTTTACTAAGCGAATTTAAATAAAAAAATCTTCTCTAAGAATTATTAAAAATAAGCAGCCTGACAATTGACTAAGCTATAGAAAGGAGTTATTTCCAAATTAATAGTATGAATGCATAAAAAAAACAGAAAAAAAAAACAACGGGGTGGGGGGGGGGGAACTATTACACATAACAAGTTTCCTAGATTCGTGGTCTTTGATCAACTTGCCAAAAAAGAAGAAACACTATTATTCATAATTTTTGTTGGGCGTAAATAAGAAATCATAAAACTTGATTACTCCAGGCCAGAAATGAGTTTGAGTCTATCTCTGTGTGGTTTGTTGTCTCATGATAGGCATACTTTGCAATTAAATGATTTAATATATGTATATATATATATATATATATATACATATATATATATATATGTATATGTATATATATGTATATATATGTATATATATATGTATATATATATATATATATATATATATATATATATATATATATATATATATATATATATATATATATATATATATATATATATATATATCTATATATATATATCTATATATATATATATATATATATATATATATATATATATATATATATATATATATATATATATATATATATATATATATATATATATATATATATATATATATACATATATATAGTATATACATATATATACTATATATATATATATAGTATATACATATATATATATATATATATATATATATATATATATATATATATATATTTATATATATATATATATATATATATATATATATATATATATATATATATATATATATATATATATATATATGTGTATATATATATATATGTATATATATATATATATATATATATATATATATATATATATATATATATATATATATATATATATATATATGTATATATATATATATATGTATATATATATATATATATATATATATATATATATATATATATACGTATATATATATATGTGTGTGTGTGTGTATATATATATATGTGAAATATGGGAGCTTGAAAAAAAATTGCCGGTTGGGGGACGTTTTAATACCCTTTGCCTAGGGCATTAAGTAACCTGGTGCAGGCACTGGTATTAACCCCATTAATACATCATTTGTTTAACATCTAAATAATAAAATGTTATCAAGAATGTTGAACTTGTACCTGTTGCAGTGGCGTAGCGAGGTTGGGTGTCACCCCGGTGCGGCACTTAATGGTGTCATCCCCCCAGAGGCTTACCAACAAACTTTCAATTTACACCCCCCCCCCCCTCAAGTTTTCAATTTGCACCCCCCCCCCCCCTTCAAACTTTCGATTTGCACCCCTCCCCTCAAGTTTTTCTCTATATATTTTGCTATTTTTTGCCTTGGTGTCACCCCCCCTAAATGGTGTCACCCGGTACAGTCTGCACCCCCTGCCCCCCCTCGCTACGCCTCTGATATGTTACATTATCTATGTTGAAATAATTGCAAAATTTATACACACCATAGCAAAAAAGTATTGTGAAATAAAAGTAGATCAATTAAAGTACAACCAAGAATGATATTTTGACCTCTAAACCCTGTCTTTCATCAGGTATGGCTACATTTTTCATGCCTTTTTTTTCTCATATTATAAATTATAGAATTACCTTATAATAAGATCATTTGGCTTATAAAATTAGATGATAGCCAAATGCTGGGGTGTGTAGAAATAAAATAATAGCCTACTACTTCTCCATTTTAATATTCAGATTATTACCTTGAGTCATTTCATTGTCATCTTTCAACACCCTTTGGCTCACAAGGCATCAACAATTTCATCCTGTCTCAAACTCTGACCATTATTTGTTGGAATGTTATTGTTATGTATCTTTTGTTTAACTTTCTATACTTACCTTTTTTATGTTTCTTTTGTCCACCCTCATTTTTTTTTTGCCCTGTGGTGTCCACCTGTGTAAAGTCCTAGTCAATGCATCTGCTCTCATTTACAGCAAAAGGCCCACCACCACCACTATCTTCTGTGTCTGATAACTAGATCTACTGTTGATGGGTGAATGCATGTTCTTTTAAATTCCTGATTTAAAATGGTATTTGGCCCTAAAATTCTCAACATGTATTTTAAGCACTTATTCAGAGAAATTTCTTGTTTAATCTTAATCACAATTTTTTGTTTTTCAACATTCCGAGCCATACTTAAGACACAAACACAATGCTTTTAAATGCGTGTAGTTTGGTAGGTTGGCTTATATTTTCTGATTTTCAATTTGATTGAGTGGTAATATATTAACTCCTCTTAAAAGTATTGAAAAAATAGACACACCTAGTAATATGGACATATACAATAGGCCTATATAATTACCCAGCAATGTGTTGTATTTTTATGTAAGATTATAGTGTATTTAGGCACACAAGTATCAATCATATTCTTTGAATTTTTAAACCTGTGTTACGGAATCATACATAATTAGCCTATAAAATGGATATTCAGTTATGAATTTCCCTAATCATGCCTAATGTATTTAATAAGTAGTTCTCCGAGCATCAATCCACAACCACTGCCATACTCTTTCTACAATAGCATTCACTAATGTGCATACATTTGTGCTTAGAGGCAGATTGTGACAGTAATTACTAATTAGTTTAGTAAAGTGAGTTAAAAGGTAAGAAAAAAGACCAGAAAGCATTAAAATAAAATAAGTTTAAAATATTGTTGAATTTTTAAAAAATATTTTATTATTGGTTGTTTTTAAAGAATTTAGATCTAAATAGAATTGCTTAGCATTGACCTTTGACATATTTAAAAGTTGGTCAAAGACTCCATCCCCTCAAAAATTCATAAAAAATAAACCATATGTTCCTGAAAATATGTGATTATGCTTGTATTGTTCTAAAAGTAAAGTAAGATTGTCCAATCTTTATTCTTAAATGTCTTTGGTTTCCATTTCTTACCCCATAGACCAATAATATTATATGTGATATAACAACTTATAAAATCAACATACATACATAATATACAGCATAACTAAAAATATATATATAACTAAAAAAAGTTTGTTTATCTTAGCCTAAAACATTGCATATGATGCTCAAATCACTGGAAAATTTAAAAAAAAAAAACTATGAACAGGTTAGGGTGTCAGTTGAATAAGTGAAGAGATGCAAGAAGAAGTGAAGGAGAGTTGTTAAAACATTTTACACACACATTTACTGCATTTCTCTTTTATTTTTTCGGTGAAGATCAACTAAGGCTTACTAAGGCTATTGAGGATTTAAAGGTTCTATCTTTTTCAATAGACTTCTTGAAAATATTGTTGAAGTTGGTCTTTTCTGTTTATTTTTTTCCAAAACATGATTTGGCAGACCCAAAATCAGCAAGTGATTTTGGATCTTGTTTGATTTCTTAGATGAGTTTAGCTGGTTTACAGCTGTGTTTAACATTGGAGTATCAAGTCTACTGCAGGAAATTACATAGCAGTTGCTAGTTCTCTGTTTTTAACCCTCAACAGTTGAGTGGCCGAGTTGGTAAAAGCACATGGTTGCTAAACCATGAATAGGCTTAAATTCAAACCCTCGAGCAGATGAGGCTCGACAGCTGGCAACAACAACTCTTCTAGGAGAGACAGCTCCATAAGTCAGCAGCTGTCTTGTAGTTTGTTCTTGGTTGGACGAAGGCTATGGAAGCAAATCCAAAAAGAAAAGCAGGCTGAAATCTCCACAGATAATTCCAGACATTTCAATGATTGGTAAAAACCAGCTAAGCAGGAAGCATGGTATTTTGTTATTGCCACTGCAGTGATTATCCACAGTTTGAAGAAAAACATTTCCCAGTCATTGCAATCTGCTTTTGGTCTAAGCACTCAGCTAAATAAAATCTCTATTGGATTTATTTCACTGATGGCACTTTCTGACCATCTTCATGTACATTGATCTCAGCAGATTGTTCTTGTTGTTTATCATTGACAACATATATAACCTTCAGACTGGAATCTATTTCTTCATTTCTTCTAGGGAGCAATGGTTCTGAAGATTTTGGTAAAATCTTTTCAGCTTTTTTGTGCAAGTTGATGGCATTACCTGGAACTGTTAATTTTTTTAAAAGTTTAAAAAACATAAAATTTGATTCATGAAAATAAAAATGTAACTAAAGTTTTAGGCTAGAGATGGTTCAAAGGAAAAAGAGCAATGGAAATATGCACAATGGATAATTAAGCTGGGGAAACTTATTTTAAATTGATAATTTAAAATAAGATTGGAAAAGAATGACGACATGCAAAATATAGCATAATTAAACATCTTTCAATTAAATATAACCAAATGAAACTTATAGTGTGTAATGTGTGCATTTTCTTTCCTGTGCTTTATCTTTTCACCAATAGAGGAAGGGGAAATTACCTTGAATAGCAGGTGCTGGAGTCTCTTCTGTGCTTTTTCTGTACAAAAAAAACCCAATATTTTTAATTAGAAAAAGTAATAAATTCACAATTATTTTATTTTCTAAAAATGTCGAGAGAAATTCATGGTACAAGATTAATGCATTATAAATAAACTGCATTATAAATTGTAGGTTAATTGTGGAGCTCTGTTTTATCATCTTGTACCATAATAGTCATTTAGCCTAGATGTATTATTTATTTGTACCTCTAATAGCATGCAAGGCTCTATAGATTTTAATCCTTACCTGCCTCAACATGTCAGAGAAAAGTTTGCAATATTAAAAACAATGGCTTTAGTATTTTTGGTATTTTCTATAAGTGACAATTTTTTAAACAACCATGTTCAATAACAAGATACAATTAGGCCTACATAAAATATAAGGATAGATAAACATGTGTAATATTATTTTATCAGAATTCATTGTATGAACAAAATGTTGTAAACGTTGAATTCATTGTATGTTTTTTGCATTTGTTTATGCATAAGTAGATACATTCGTCTAAAAAGTTGGACAGCTCAGATCTAATTTATAAGACTGAATAATAAGCATTTTTTATTCGAAAGACACACTTTTTTAAAAAGGAGAAGTGAAATTTAAATTCAATGATATTGTTACAAAATTTGTAAAGGGGATATTTTAATAAGATAAAAATCTTTTACATATCTATATTGTTAAATAGATTTTTTTTTATTTATAGGCTGGGTCAAATTTTACTGAAATTGAATTGTAATAATGTTTTCTTCTTTAGAATTAATTTCTTTCTTTATCTTATGTAACTAGTTTTAAAACATTTGGTCTTTTTGTTCACGGCATGCAAAATAACATCAATTATTAAAATGTAGTGCTAATATAATTTTTTTTTTACTTACTTTGTTAGAATTTTTTTAGAAATTTTTCTTTTCCCGTAGCACAAAACTGTAAACAAAATTATTTTCTTATTGTGAATTTTCTGCACTAATGGAGGCTATCCTAATGAAGTTTAGATACAACTTAAAACAGTATTGGTAAATACTCATATTATTATTCAAAATTGCTCTATATGAATAAACATTTAATCATGCTTTTGTTAAACATTTAAGTACTACATTGATTCATTAAGCTTAAAAAATATTACTTAATCATTGATGGTTGACTTATGAAATAATAAATATGTGGTATTTACTATTTTTTAAAATACTTACAAATTAGCAAAATGGCAGGCAAAAGAGAGCAAACTAGAACCAAATATACAAACTGAATGGAGGACTCATCATCTATTTTAGCACCTATTTTTAAAAAAATTACAAAAACACAGTCTTAATATATAAATAAAAATAAATAAATATATATATACACACATATATATATATATATATATATATATATATATATATATATATATATATATATATATACATATATATATATATACTGTTACGTACCCCCTTCTCTAATCCTTTCGAACTAGTCAGGGGATCGTAAACAAGAAGAAGAAAAATAAATAAATGCCAACTTCAGTAATCTCTATTTATTCGCCACAAAATACAACATCTAACATTAACCCGCCACCACATGGAACACAATAGGAAAAATACACAAGTAACTACAACAACTAAAGTTCTTAGTACGACTACCCTACTTGTCCCTAACTGTCTATCTAGCCTAGGTCTAATGCATGTCGTGGCTTTCCACTAGCTCACAGAGACGACCCAGGTCTGTCTCCTCTAAGCCTAGCTATCCGAGACGTCCGTCCGTCTCCGTGTGTCCGTCCCGAGTGTCTGTCCAGAGTGTGTGTGTCCCCAGTCTCCGGTCTACCCTCCTAAAGTACTCGTCCCCCGTTCTACACCGTGGGAACGATTTTAATTAAGGCCTGACCCTAGGTCATATCCGTCCATGACGGTCCCCTTGGCCCCCTCCGACCTGGAAGGTTTTCCCAGCCGTAAAACACGGACCGTCACTAGCCTAGATCAAGCATCAACGGTCAGCCCGTGGTGTCACCAGGTAATTTATGGGCTGTTGGCCACGTTAATAGCCGAGTCCCCCAAGACACCAGGTATGCACCGCCCACAGCGTAATCTAATCCGTGGTGTGGCCGTCAAGACCCCCAGACTCTCACGGCCTATGCTGGCCAGTGCATTAACATGCCTAAGCATTTCATTTTAATTACCTGGCCCTCCTCGATGGGACCAAACCCAGGTAAAGATCGCTTGGGTTCGTAACACCCCCACCCTTCAAGAAATTAATTCGCCACTTGGTGAATTAATTGAACATTTCTTACTAGACAACCATCCCAATCTCACAATTCCTCAAAAGTCCCAGAATAAACCTAAATGGGACTAAATCCATTTAACATAATCATTACTAAAAAGATAAGAAACGTGGATGATTTAGTCACAATAACAAGTTTGACTAAATACCCCAAACACGATGTCATCAAACATAGACATCAAAGTAAATAAAACAGCAAATCTGCAACACATGTGTCACTGTCGCAAATAATGCTAAGATTGAAAACCAACAGTCTTCGTTTTACTGATAGTTACGTCATCAGTCAACAAAACTTGGCAATACAATTAAAAACTGTCACGAATTCAACAGCATGTAAAACATCAATAACAATTTTTTTTTTCAAACAAGACATGTAAAAGGTACATTCCTTAAGCCTAAAAACAGTTCATTTTGATTAGAACACTTGCATCCTGGGAAAACATGAAACAGTCTATCTTGGGAACAGTTCTAATAGGTTTGAAACACAAAGGTACACATTGTCATTATGTTTCCGTCTTGCGGGTCATCATGAGTCCGTAAATATAAATCTTTAGCCGAACTTTATACCGGCGCAGCACAATTTTAGTGACAGAGTTATTGTCCGTCCACAACAACAACAACTCGCACATAAGGCGTGGTTTCACAGGACTTTTTGCAGTGTAGCCATGTTTTGACACGATGTTAATCCTGAACATCGGGTCACACAAAGAGGGAACGATTACACGCCCCGTCTCCGTGAAAGCAATGGGGTGTGCGCTCGCTTGTACGCACCCTCGGTTGAGAGAAGTAGCGTGACCCGCTGAGGTCACCGTCTCCGGGTTGTTGGTGTTGACCGGGTCGGTCAGAGAACAATAAATCACCTCCGTGATAAGGGGAGGGAAGCCTGAGTTAGGCTCAACTCCTAAACAAAAGGTAACGACTTTGCGCGTCACCGCTGACAAAAGATTCACCGTCTCCACGATCTCTGGATGTAGAACACCATCCACGTGACCTCCAGGTGAGGTCATGGCCTCCAGGTTGCTGGACTTGGTCGGGGAGAAATCAAATACTGCTGGGATCATGGGAGGACAGCCCGTGTTAGGCTCACCTCCAAGACAATGGGTAACAATTTCGTCTGTTACCGAGGCTGGCAGAAGATTCGTTGACTCGTCTAACTGAAGGTGTAGGTCACCATTCACATGACCTCCAGTTAAGGTCATGACGCCTTCAAGACCACAAGTAGTAAGGTCTTGATCAGATACAGTTACTGGTTCAGGTTCAGACGAGGACAGCCTGTTCTCATGAGTATTCACTCTCTCGGTGGTTACCGTGATTTCAGCGGTGGTTGTAACCACTGGTTCTGATATTGACTGCCCCTTTTCATGACTGGTCAACATCAGAGTGGTTGCCGTTATATCATCGGTGGTTGTATCCACTGGGTCAGATATTGACAGCCCCTTTTCATGACTGGCCAATAACAGAGTGGTCGCCGTGATATCATCGGTGGTTGTATCCACTGGGTCAGATATTGACAGCCCCTTTTCATGACTGGTCAACATTAGAGTGGTCGCCGTGATTTTATCTAAACCAATAACTTGCTGACTGCCTTCAGTACTTGTCGGCACACAACTCTCAACTCGTAAGCTATCAGCACGTTTTGACGTTTGTGCTGGTTCTGCTAGGTTAGAGTCGACTTCAGGGACTGAGCCAAAGCTAGTGGCAGCCTTAGTCTGAGACTGACAAAACTCACTACCAACTCTATCAGACAACAAACTATCTTCATCTCTATACCGATCCTCGGAAACTACTACACTAGCCTGAGAGAAAACAGAGACAGATTCTGGAAAGTCAAACAACCCACTAATCTGCGCCTCCTCCCATAGCCTAAGTAAATCCCGTTCCCTCCTGATCTCTAATAGTTTAATTTCATGTCCGAACAGTTTCTCTAAACTTTTAATGTTAATTTCCTTCCAAGATTCTGACATGAATATATCCCTCCTGATCTCTAACAACTTATCCTCCTTTTCTCTCGCGATCTCTAACATCTTAACTTGAAACTCTCTCTCAATTTCTTCAACCCTAATTCGTCCTATCTCATAATATTCTATCGAGTCTAGACACTCCTCCTCTAATCTACCTGTATTCACTAACTCAACACAAATATGATCTCGTAGAACTCTATCTCTATCCGACACATCAACCTCTAGTCCTAGCTCCTCAACTAGACGCAACAACTCTACGCGACAAAACCTGTCTAAAACTTCTAGAGTTGGACACTCAATAAAACTCATTACGTCCATGATTCACACTTACGGAACTTATCAAGCTAAATGGTGGCGGTTAACTACTAAAAATATGGCTCACAACAAACAACTTTAACTTAAACATTAAAAGTAGGGCTATCACCTTTGACACTTTAAACAGGTAGACACCAGCTATACTGGGCCAACCAAACTAAAATATCCAGCTACACTGGATCACAAACGATTTACTCACGTATACTGGGAATTGACCCTCCAGCTATACTGAGCAAACCAAACAAAAATTACGAATTTATTCACGTACCTGGGAATGACCCTCCAGCTGTACTGAATAAACCCGAACACTCCAGTTCCACTGGACCAAACAAAAATATTCGAGTATACTGGGCATTAATCCCTCCAGCTATACTGAATCAACAAAAAAAAATTCCAGCTCTACTGGACCAACATAAAAATCAAGAAAAATAAACTCAGTGTCAATACAAAGGTGATAAGCTCGCTACTTACTCAATGTTTGGAAAACTCTCCTGATTCCGTGAACAACTTTACTCTCACTACTCCTAAAACTTAAAACTAAAACACAAGCTCGTGAGCCCCCAACTGAAAATGGCATCAAAAGAAACTATTCAACTCGTTGTCTGTCCTATCCCGGACTCTAGCCGCCAATTGTTACGTACCCCCTTCTCTAATCCTTTCGAACTAGTCAGGGGATCGTAAACAAGAAGAAGAAAAATAAATAAATGCCAACTTCAGTAATCTCTATTTATTCGCCACAAAATACAACATCTAACATTAACCCGCCACCACATGGAACACAATAGGAAAAATACACAAGTAACTACAACAACTAAAGTTCTTAGTACGACTACCCTACTTGTCCCTAACTGTCTATCTAGCCTAGGTCTAATGCATGTCGTGGCTTTCCACTAGCTCACAGAGACGACCCAGGTCTGTCTCCTCTAAGCCTAGCTATCCGAGACGTCCGTCCGTCTCCGTGTGTCCGTCCCGAGTGTCTGTCCAGAGTGTGTGTGTCCCCAGTCTCCGGTCTACCCTCCTAAAGTACTCGTCCCCCGTTCTACACCGTGGGAACGATTTTAATTAAGGCCTGACCCTAGGTCATATCCGTCCATGACGGTCCCCTTGGCCCCCTCCGACCTGGAAGGTTTTCCCAGCCGTAAAACACGGACCGTCACTAGCCTAGATCAAGCATCAACGGTCAGCCCGTGGTGTCACCAGGTAATTTATGGGCTGTTGGCCACGTTAATAGCCGAGTCCCCCAAGACACCAGGTATGCACCGCCCACAGCGTAATCTAATCCGTGGTGTGGCCGTCAAGACCCCCAGACTCTCACGGCCTATGCTGGCCAGTGCATTAACATGCCTAAGCATTTCATTTTAATTACCTGGCCCTCCTCGATGGGACCAAACCCAGGTAAAGATCGCTTGGGTTCGTAACAATACATATATATATATATATATATATATATATATATATATATATATGCAGACAGACAGAAAGACCAATAAATACATATATATATACATAATATACATGTATGTAGGTGTAGTGCCAAGGTCACAGAAACAGCTGAACTCTACTTCACTTGCCCCATGAACCACAAGGTTCAAAAAGAGAACTTTATTACTATCTATATTTATAGGCTCTATATAAATATATGGATAAGAAATTAGACCCTACACATATATAGGCTATGTATATTATTATATTCTTCACTTCAATTTATTATAGTTAAGCGGTATTTCTGTACATTGGTGTGTTTCTTCTTATTCTGTGTATACTACATTAATTTGACATACAGAAACAGAAGAAAACACATAGAAAGAAAAATCAGCTGTATTCAAATTTTTCCACATGAAGCAGGAACACTCACTTTTCAAAACCTGTAGCATCCGGTTTTTGAAATCATCATTACACAATCCATATTGAAACTCATATGTTGTGTTAATAGCTGCTGTTGTTATCTCTTTAGTTGAGCATGGAGTACCCCGTGCAATTGTTTTGTTATCTTGAATTATCTTTGTGTTACATGGGCTGGGTGAGTTCAGGCAGCAGAATCTTAACAGTTCTTCATCAGCTGAGAGCTGTATATATGTTTCATTGTCAGAAACATTTCTTGAATTTATTTGCAGTAATACTGAATTTGGATCTGTAAGTAAAAAAATAAATACTTATAATTTAGAAAAAAAGGTTTTTTTTTTACAAATTAATTAATGTATTAATCTTAATTTAATAATTTATTTAGATTTCAATTATACTTAACAATTTCTGGCTGTATAAAATTGTAAGCAGCTTACCATACACAATAGGAAGTTGAGTAATTGTTTCATTTTGACAATCTGTTGCTGATGAACAAACTTTGGCTATTATAAAACCTTTACTGTATTCACTTTGCAATAAGATATTAACAGTGACAAATACTCTTTGTTCTTCTGCTGAATATACACAGGAACACCTGGGTGTTTTACAATCAGTTGTAGTGACAGTACAAATCTGAAACATTGAATGAAATGTGTTTAGTAAACAAAAAAAAACAATAATATTTAAACGTATTAAATAAGTATGTCTAAACAAATATTTAAAACTGTTGTAATTCAAATTCTCAAATAGATAGTAAACATGATTAGAACGTAAAAGAAACAACCAGTGTTTCTTTCAAATTTTTTTCTCCGTGGGGGTGGGGTGGAGGGGCAGACTTAATTTTCCAGACACTGGTAAAAGTAGATACTTTCTATATAAATTCCATTTTGTACAGGGGGGGGGGGGGGGGGGGGCGAGTGGTGGGGGCAGTGGACCCCTCCCCCAAACTGATACCTTGATGAACAACCAGACAAAAATGTAACCTGTGCAGTGATCATAACACTTACACATATAACAGAAAAATAAAACTTACCTAGTGTCCAAATGTAAAACAAAAACACAGTGTAATAGTCAGTAGCTATCTTTACCATGATCCACCCCCCCCCCCCCCAGAAATCCATCTCAAATGCATTATTTTTCCTATCACCCCTATCATCCACCCCACCATCACCCCTCCCCTTATTACACATACATACACAAATAATGCTACTCCTTTCATTATGGCAAGCCAATAAAAAACCTGTTAGTCCACTATGTAAAAACCACCAACACATATCAACAAGAATACAGATAATAACAGTATATTGATCTGTCATTGTTATAGCTAGTCTTACAGTAATACATCTATTATTTTAGTCAGCATGAACTGGGTTGGGATAAGTTACTTGAATACTGTAAAATTGGCTAGATGAATGTAATGGATATATTGTTTAGCAAAAGTCATTTGTATGTAAGATTTGTTGTGTTTGCAGACTAATTGTTACTAGCAAGTTTTAATAGCATTTCTTCATCAGTATTTTTTTTTTTTTTTTTTTGTTGTTGTTCCAATTAAACCTTTGAGCAAAATAATTACTAGGCTACTATTTTATTCCTTGATGTCAAAACCAGTATATAAATCATTTATGTGGCCAACACACAATAACAACTGCAGCAATCAACAACAATTTAAAGTTGGAAAACGGTGATTAAACATGAGAGCAAAGAATCAAATGTGCCTATAAACAGGTTACATTACTAGCATTTGTATCTTACAATGCATGACACTCAAATATAAATATATACCATTATCCTTTAATTATGTGATTTATGTCTTAATTTATTTGGGGAGAAGAGTAGCTCAGACATTTGTGATCAAGTACTATCATATTTTAGGCCTCTGAAAAAGAGCAAACAATAAAAGTGTTATTTGGTTGCAAAAAATTTTGATAAAGTATTATGTTATTACATGTTGTAAGTTTTCATGAGCCTTTGTCGTTATTTTCAGATCAATTTGGTCTTTCAATGTTTTGTCCTGGTCCACATCTAACCACACAGTGAGGTGCATCCTGTCTATTCTACTAATGAAGTCTTTATCACATGATGATGTCAATTTAGTGTTGTTTAGATGAATTCTTGCCTCCAGTTTTGTTACTAATAACAAAATCCCTATAAAAAATATATAAAAACAAATTTTCAGATAAACAAATGCATGGTGATTCCTGATAAGTGGTTAGCCACAGCTTTTAAGGAGAAAAGTCAAATTTACTCACAGAAAATCTGCATGAAATAGAGCAGAAAGAATGCTCTATCCATTTCAGCTCAGTAAGTCCTAATCCTAAAAAAAAAAATATTTCAGAATACACTACTTTTAGTCATGTGTGTGACTAAAATTAAAGATAAAGGTTTCTTTTGTGGTATTTTACAATACTTAACTTAACCACACATTTTAGGATGTAGATTATTTTTTAGACCATAATCCAATAATAATTTTATTGAAAGTAAATAGAATATAGAAAATATTGACCATTTGGATAATGATGTATATTTTGTTAGATTTAGACAAATAAATGTAATAAATCAGATGAAAAGTTGGTGTCATGTATAGGCCCCTATAGGTGTATATAAACTAGTATACCCATCCCGATTACCAGTAACCAAAAGTTGTAATGGTACTTCACTCTATTTCTGGTTTCTAAAAATGATAAAATACCAATTATTTTGAGTTCTGTTTTGAATAGCAAGAAGAAATTTCATATATAGGCATATCCTCTAATTTGCTGTTGTTAAGTCAAATTTGGAATTATTCCCAGTGACCGGAAGTAGTACTATTTCCGATTTCTCAATAAAGTATATCAGTTTTTTGGAGATCCATCCCGCTTTATTTATTGTATTTCGAACATGATTTTCCCCAACACAATCAGTAGGCCTTTTATATGTTAAAATAGTATGCGTCTTCTGATTTCAACTTCCTTTTATTTCTAGATTTCATTCCATAGCCCAGATCAAATGACAAGACTATATGATTTTGGAATGTTCTCTTCTAGATGTTTTGGTGATCCCAGGTATCTAGTATTATCTGCAAAGAGATTGGAACTCTGGACACTTCAGTTTAAAAACAATAAGCCGGGCATAAGCTCTTGAGGTCCCACCAGGCTGACCAAATACAGTGGCGTAGGCAGGGGGGGGGGTTAGGGGGGGTCAAACCCCCCCCCCCCATAGACCCCTCGGTATATATAAAAAGTATGAGGGGGGTGCAAATCGAAAGTTTGAGGGGGGTGCAAATCGAAAATTTGAGGGGGGGGGGTGCAAATCGAAAGTTTGTCCCCGGGTAAAAATTGGAACCCCCCCCCCCCCCTTGAGACGATCCTGGCTACGCCACTGACCATATATATCTCTATATATTATATATACATATTTATGCATGCCTATATAAATAAGCCTATATTTAGCCGATATAGGCTAAGGCCTATATCATATTATATGGATATAGGCCTACATACATAGGGTCATAGCCTCTCCCCCCCCCCCCCAAATCCCATCTATAAGCTGTTGTGTTACACATCAAATTGCGACCAACGATGTTTTTCTAAAAAGAATATTTTGCTTTTCAACACTGATGAGTAAATTGATAACTACTTGCCTTTATAAATCAAGCATCATTGCGTGAGGTGTTGTCTTCAGCTCGAACTAATTATTACAGGTCGGCAAAACGTGTTACACGTTACGTGTACCTAATCAAAGAAATGCTCTAAAAATACATCTTCTTAGAAAAGCTTGAATTTTTTCTAGATAGGAATTATTTATATTTATAGAATAATAGTTTCAGTTCATTTTCTAGATTGCAATGAATATAAAAAATTACTCTAAAGGCCTACGATACTGTTAAAATAATAGCAACGTTTGCTTATAGATCTAGTTAATTTGTATTTAGACTGAATTGTGGTTTGGATTTAGATGTCAAGTTCAACTAAACCAAATGTAGGCTATCGAGAAACCTATAGGCCAACAACTACTATTAATAGATGTAGGTTTGATCTAGATCTAAACAGAAGATAAAAAAAAGCAAAAAGGGAATTCCCGAACATTTAAGTGTATTTCACAAAAAAAAACGAATGAAAATATTTTTAAAATGTCAATAACTTACTGATTAACTATCTTAAAGTATATTTTTTTGCATAAGAAAATGAATGAAATTTTAAACCTTTTAGAGATAATTTGTAATTGAAGATTTTAGGCAACTTGTAAACATTCAAGGTTACCAATACAAATATTTTTCAAACAATTTTGTTTCCATAACAGTGTTATAAATTTCTAACTGCGCGAAATTATTTTTACTACAGGGGGGGGGGGGGGGGAGATCCTTCATGAACGACCTGACATTGACATTCAATGAATGATTAAAATGGAGGTGGGAGAGGTGTGAGGTGTATATATATATATATATATATATATATATATATATATATATATATATATATAAATATATATATAAATATATATATATATATATATATATATATATATATATATATATATATATATATATATATATATATATATATATCCTGATTAGCTAAAATGTTCACATTATTACCCGTCCAAAAGCAATGGACTATAAATATATTTTTAGCAAAAACATCTTAGCAAAGACACTGTCGTTATAGCAACTTAATAGATATATTTTATATTTTAAGGTTGATTTCAATCAATTCAAAAGCTACCTTTGAACTTACCAATCTGCAGTTAGGTAATGTAATAATTAATATATTTATTGTAAAATTGGGTTTTTATTAGCCACGTAATCTCCAGATATTTCCCGTTACGTGGCATTATCTGATAACAGAAACTATGTATTCCCTTTTCAAACAACTATCGGAATTTTATAGAATATCGTTACATATCATTTATAGCCTACACTCTTTTAAGATTGCACAATGAAATAACTTAAAAATTCAAATAAACATAAGATTGAGTGCAGTGCCTTCGCTAGGTCGGGTGTCACCCCCCACCCCCTTAAATCAAAGGAAAAAACCATAGGATATTATATATATATATATATATATATATATATATATATATATATATATATATATATATATATATATATATATATATATATATGTAATTGGTTTCACGTCACCTTTTACCACTTTAACAAAGGAATGAATGTGTGCCTAGAATTATGCCAAATGGAGTGAGTTTGTGTACACAGTATTTTAATCCAACTATTTTTCAAGTGGTAAAAAGCAATGTTTTTATAGCACATTACTAGATGTGTTGCCACATACTTTTTAACTCTGATTAATCGTTCATTGAACTTGCAAAAAGCATGTCTCTTCCATATATTTTACAAATTGTTGTCTCGGTGTCCCCCCCCCCCCCACCCCCAATACGGTGTCACCCGGTGCGGCCCCCGCCTCGCGACGCCTCTGGTTGAGTGTTCTTGTGAGGTTTCTTTATTATGGAAATGTGTCAGAGGTGTCCAGATTTTCTTCCAGGCATCCCCCCTCCCCCCACGAACGAAATAGAATGTATAAAAATATATTGTATACTTTAAACAGTGTCCGCCCCCCGGAAATTTTAGTCCGCCCCCCCCCCCCCTCCCCGAAAATTCCAAGTGCCCCCCTGGAGAAAAAAGTCTGGAAGTAACACTGGAGGTGTCTGCTGTGCCACTAACCACCACATCCTTAAACTGTTTTTTTTTTTCAGTAATAAAATACCACAATATTTTTTACAAAGCAGAACAACGAAAAGAATCCCAAAATATTTGAGTAAATAGCTTCTTAGTGCACTGCTACATTTGAAAATATCAGTGAGTCCACCTGGAATGTGTACACGTTTAACAAATCTTGGTTAGGGTGTACATTTTCCTTTATGTTATATTGTACTGTATAACCAAAAAAGATATACCCGTATTGTATAAGGCCTATGTTGGGTAAATTGGGTGTTGAACAGCAATTTTATAGGCCAATAACTTTAACAATTTTTCTCTGTTCGGATCTTTACAGCAATTATTTATAGTTAATATAGACTAATATTCAATATTTCGTTCTAAGAAAAATACACAACGGGAAAGTGCGCAAAAACAAACTTATATTGACACACTTTCATTTTGTCGCATTTCATGCGGAAAAATATTTTATTGGGCGGAAGTGTACATGTGGACATTGTTTGCTAACGTCTTTAAATTATCGATTTAATACAAAATTACGTTGCACTCCTTTAGTTCTCAATTTTCATCTGTGTATATTACCTTAGGACATTTCTCTTGTATCCATTATCAATCACGATTATTATACAATGACAACAACAATAAATATTGAAAATTGTTAAAAGTTCATTAATATTTGTGTTGTATACATAGGCCTTTATATATTTTCTTAAAATATTATATTTGTGTGGGCAAGACATAAAATAATGAAAGTTTTCGTATTTGAAAATTTTATTGACAAATCGAGTTGTTCTTGTGTGAAAAGGGCAACAAAAAAAACTAGAAACTCGACTCAATTTAAAAACAATAAGTTCAATTAGAAAATATTTCAAGTTATTTGAAATCTTCTTTTATTTTGGTCGTGGGGGGGGGGGATCTTTTATGATTTTTTTCCAATCAAATTTTTAATCAATCATCGATCCAGCATCGATCACAACACCTGAATCGTCCACATTAGTTTCACCAGTGAGTGAACAGCACGGTCTAGGGGACGAGGGGGGAGACATCTCACACGTAGATCCCAAGCCGTTGTTTTCTGTCTCATGGACAGTTTCACCAGCAACAGAATAGGCCGGAGTTATCGAACTTGGCATAACGTCGCCCAGTTTACATTGAGTCGAGCTGTCTTGAAGACTTGACGCGACTTGCTTCTCTGAACGATCAACATTTTTTACCGTATTCAACCCTTGATTAACTGTGTTAAATTTTGTGATCAGCCGGTGTTTTTCATTGTTTCTAACGTCTGTGTTATCTTCTTGATTTAAAAATAAACATTTTAAATCTTCCCAGGTGCAGTAGGTTTTTTTCAGGTGATTCCCCGAAAGAGTTAGGAAAAAATCACTTACTTTTCTCTGCTTTTTATCTGGTCCATTAAAATGTGAAATAAGTTTACGTTTTCTGTCGTCTTTAGCTCTTAATTCTGATTTTATGTTGGAGAAATATTTTCTAAATTGTTCAATAGTTTGCCCAATGTACATTTTGTTGCATTTTTCACAATACAAGATGAAGACGACACTCTCCAGTTGGCATGCAGTGGCAGCATCCGGGTCTTCAGACAGGTGAGGCACCTGACGACAGGTTTGACAGGTGTCCTCACGGCACCGTTTTACTTTGATTTGAAACTCGTCCTGTTAACCAACATTAATGTTATATTTTTAAACATTTACTAATTACATTATTGAATAAACAATAATCAAAATTTTAGTATTCCCAGTACTTTTTTTCTTGTTCATACTGATTGAAAAAATAAAATTGTATTATTATTCATTTTTTTTGTAATACAGTAACTTCGAGTGAGATCTTACAGAACATAAATGAATTAAAATTTAAATGGCAATGTTTTTAACCAAGCTCGTGTATGGTATATATGTCGCAAGTGTAAACACTGTGAGATATAGCAGCATTTATGTCCATTATGCTAATTAGTCTAAACAAATTACATATTATGCTTAGTGTCTAATTGAGAACAAAAGAAGTGATTACTGTTTTGTTAAAATACTGGTAGGAAGAAATTAATTTAGTTAATTCAGAAAAGTTAATTATACATATTTCTGAATCAGTAAGCTGTTTAAAATTCGGATTTGTCGGAAGAAATGTGATATTTCAAAAAATTGTTGATGGTTGTATTGTAAATACAACTAAGAAATACAAAACGAAAATGTTAATAACCTTATTTAGCCTAATCCAATCTTGCATGGTTGTATAGCTGTAAGCAAATTATTGAAGAAATGAATATATATATATATATATATATATATATATATATATATAATATATATATATATATATATATATATATATATATATATATATATATATATATATAATATATAATATATATATATATATATATATATATATATATATATATATATATATATATATATATATATATATATATACATATACATATTTATACACAAAACAATATTAGACACATTACAATGTTGTGTTCATCTTCCATTCCATTTTTAAACTTTTTACTTTTATATTTTTCATAGAACTTATAATCTTGACAAAGTATATTTAATGATGTTTGAATTGTACTTTTGTTTATTTCCAAAATATTTTCGATTGTTTGTTTTGTTTGAAATCTATCTGTGTTTTATTAGAGACAAATTTTGGTTGTTTTGGTATAAAGACTTGCTTTATATTTTAATACTTTTAGTTTTACACTTGCAAGTTTTGAGGACGTGCTGTGAACAAATTAAAAGAAAATCCACTTGACTTTTGACTCCCCTTGGCCTAAAATGTGCTACATGACATCGTCATGGACGTACCCAGGGATTAGACACACCCCGACCCCTGTTGTCACGTGGTACACGTGGATAACTCACTTAAAATGGAATAAGACAAATACGCAGAGTTTCTTCCAGGCATCTCTTCGAGGAGGGGGGGGGGGGGGGCGAAGAAAGTCTACCGCCCCCACCCCCCGAACGAGATGGAATTTATACAGTAAATATACACTTTTACTAGTGTCCGCCCCCCCCCCCCCATGAAATATCAAGTGCTCCCCCCCCCCCCCCCCCGGAGAAAAAAGTCTGGAAGAAACACTGCACATACGGTATCAAAAGGTAGTAAACTTGATAGGCTTGCTTCGTGCTTACAGATTATGTTAATTTAAAAACTGAGCGGGGGATGTGTTTAAAAAGAAACCATTGCATACAGCCTTGAATTTAAATGAGTATTTCTTTAGTCATCAATTGCCTCGCTATTTGGGTTTGCCTTGATAAACGTGAAGTTTTGTGTAACATATACCGTAGTGTTACCATCCGAAGGGAAATAACCCGTATATGATTTGGTTGCGGGCCCTTTGGATCCGCAATTTGTTAATGTTATGTTGTGGGCAATTTTGACTCGTTTTTCTCATGTCAAGTGACCTCTCGGAGGTATGGGTTGCGTAGTTGTTTTTTTTTTTTTTTTTACTTGTACAACGGCAGTAGAACTTAAGGCGTCATGGGATCAATACCCAATGTTTCTAGTGAAACATCAGTAAATAAGAGAGATAGGCAGGGCCCAATCAAGGTAAGGGAAATTTTTATAGCGTAATTTGTGAGTATTTGAGTAGTCTGTTGAAAAAAAAATATTGCTGAGAAATGCTTATCTTTATACGTAATTTTTTTTAAAAATACTGTGAGATAACAGCGGAATACTACAGTATAATTGAATATTTATTAGTGCTGTAAGTAATGCTGTGTTGTTATTTAATTAATGTATTGTGACAGTCTTAATTACATAAAAATTTAAACTGACATGGTTAACTTTTACATGCTTCCTAGTGCCGCATATTGCGGGCTATAAATTTTATGACTCGATGTGTACAAAATGATCTGGCCGTGTAAATCCACTTTGACACATCCTTGTCACATTGTGATTGTGGGCCTGATGCGTATAAGCTACAAAGTCTATTCGGGTAGGCCCTAGTTGTAATATGTTATAATTTTTTTTAATACTGGCAAGTGCCTAACGTATTGTTTACTTATTTAGGACAATGCTACCTACATGTCCTGTTGGTTGTTGGTGGTCTACATCAGTCATCGTATACCTGTACATAAACCTGTGTAACACTGCCGCATGTTTACTGTGTTAAGATCAAAGTTTACACGCAACATCTGTGTTTGTGTTGTCTCATATGGTCCGCCAATAAAAGCACTAAACCTCTATGGGTGAACTCCACAACAGTTCCCCACTAAGGCAGTGTTACGTTGGTTTTTGTTTCATTTTTTCGTTATTTACCTTGATTTTTGTGTGCTTCAAAGCAACTATATTTACTTAATATGCCTTCATTTATTGATCTAGCTTAACATAAAGTACATTAATCAATTTTCATTACATGTTTAAAAAAAAAATACAAAATGGTGTGAAATAACCTTTGAAATGTAGACAAATAGAAACAAAAAATTAAATGTTGTGTGAAGTTCCCATTACTTACACCCCAAACTACTTTTGTTGACGTATTAAAATTTGTTTTATAAAAAAAATACAAATGTTAACTTAAAGTTTACTTCACGTATATCTCATTAACGAAAAAAAACTACTTACGGCTTTAGTCTGTCTTAAAGATTATAACTAAAAATTAAAATTTGAACTAAAAATCAAAAGTTATGTTAATTATATTTACGCTACCAACAAATAATAAGTGCATACAATTTAGTTTTGTATACAACTGTCCTATGTTGTTCTCTGCACTCCTACACGTATGTTCACATACAATAAATTACCACGGCATCTGTATGTTATCTAATCAGTACTAAGGTTCGCTCTTGCTAATAATAGACATGAGGCCTAACAGCTACAAGATAAAAACAAAAATTGTAATTTTACTACACACTTCTACAAAACTAACAACTATTTAGGTTACTGGTGTTGTCTTATTAAAATGGAAATGTTTTGTTGTTAGAACGTATGAAATAACAGACAATACTCACTCAGTGAACTGTTGCAGACAAAAAAATATATTTGTTACAGACACAAGAAATGTAGGCCTATCTGTTGCCGACAGCAAACTTCATATACACCGCGGGCAGCATCGTCATTGGGTTTCAACATATAAACAAAAATAACTTATGTAGCAGTCTTTTTTGTTTCTTTCCCAGGGGCGTAGGAGGGCAGTTTGCGGAGGGTGACCACACCCAACTTCTCCCCCCCCCCCCCCCTCCCCACACAAAAAAAAAACATGTTGACTCGTGTTGTTACAGATCTTGGAGAACTTACTGACAATTAAGGTGTTTTAAATTTTTATAAGCAATATTGAATATGTATTGGCCCTAAAAAATTATGTTAACGGCAGAGTTTGAAATTGAGCATTCTATAGAATACCTAGGAAATGTGCGTAATGCCCAAAATGTATGAAACACATCATTTTTTCATCATACTTCATACATCTCCTAGTTCTTCTATAGAATGCCCAATAACAGACAAGTGAGTGTAGAATATGATTTCTCGCCTGAAAATTCCGCTATCTTTGTTAGAGTTATGGTTTGGGTTTGGGTTTAGATTAAGGTTAGGTCAGGGTTTGAGACCATTGCTTCCCCTTCACAATCCTCCAGGATTGATTAGGCCGTCCTACTCTTCTTTTACCCTTGGGGTTTCAGTCCACTGCTTGTCTCGCGATGGGGACGCCGTCTCAGTGCTTGTCCAATCTATCCCCGTCGGCGGTCTCTTAAACCCTTTTAAATTATTTTATTTATGTGCTTGTAAAAAATAGTGTAACCTATCGTAAAATAAAATGGTAAGCTACTTTTAGTATAATGTCAGTGTTGGATGAAATGTTTGCGTGTCTTCCTTGCCGAGCCGAGCTACAGATAATACGATTATAATGTTTGTATGATCACAGCGCTGGTCAAATCATTATGTGTCAACTTTAAATGTATTTTGTTTTGCCTTTCTCTAACCATTAAAAAACGGGTTGTAATCTAAGGTGTCTTGCGGCGGCGAGTAAAACTTACCGGTTGCACTATTTACCCAGTAGCCATCGGTACCCGTTTCACGTGAACTATAGGCCTATATATTTAAAATGTACTTTTTGAGAAAAATAATTTATGAAATAGTTATTGGACAAAACGCAATGTGCTTTACTACACGGTGAACGATATAAGCACAAAGCAAAGAAATAACTAATTAGCTAAAACTCCGATACATTTAACATAGTCATAACACAGGAACACACTTATTAAGTGACTTAAATGATTCCGTTAAAAATCTGGCTATTCAATGGTCATTATGTTGTTTTTAAGTAATCTTTTATATATATAATTCTCTTCTGGGAGCCGTTAGAAAACAAGCTGAAAGCGCCTCCTTGCAGTCCCCTCTCTTTCTCTCTATCACTATCACTACCACCCCCACCCCACCCCACCCCCACATTGTCTGGTGAGCTGTGGTCACGCTGTTTACATTTTACAATCATAGAGACGGGTTTGGTGACGGCTATTAGGGGCAGATAATTTAGTTTGAAACGATTTTAAACTTAGAGGAGGTAACTAAGAGGAGGCTGCTTTCACGTGGGGGGGGGGGGGGGGGGGGAGGGGATTTTAGTGTTTTTAAGCAAATATTTTCAGTGGCAGCATTGGTACTGTCGAATTCACAAATTATAAATTACTGAAAAGTAGAAAAAAAAACAACTAAATAGCGGCGTATGATACGCAGCGGGTCGGCTCGTTTGTATTAGTTTGACTGATAAAATTGTATATATTTCATAGCGTACGTCTTGATGAGTAGATCTATAGATCTAGATCTAAATCAAATTTGAATGAAGTAGGCCTACTTCCGTTCTTTATAGTCTAAAATCAGAAGATTCAAATATAAAAAAAAAAATAGAAAAATAAGTTAGACTTGGGGTGTCTCGATCCCGCACCACCTGCGTAATATTAAGTACACTATCATCTCAGCTATTTAGGCACCATAATAGTGGAGAATGAAAGACATATTAAATAAACCGGGAGCGATCTCCCCTAAACTTTCTCGAATATTCTAATATAACACTACGGGGGAGGGCAACTCGGGATATAGACTTCTAGACATGATTTTTAATCCATTTTAAGTACTCAAATTTTTAAAAATAGAATATAATCTCGTAGAAAAAAGAAATGCACACCAAGTGAACGCTAAATAAAAATGTGTATAATAGTGCGCAATATTATTATTACTTTATAAATTTACATACGCTTTTTGAGAAATCGGAAATAGCGTCAATAAGTACTTCCGGTCAACGGAAATTACTAAAAATTTGAAAGAAGGTAGAAAATTAGATCGTTTACTTACATATCAAATTTCATTTATCTATCTGAAACAGTACTCAAGCTATACGCTTTTGAAAAATTTAAAGTAGAAAAAGTACCACTTCCGGTTATCGGAAATCGCCCAAAAGTGGATACGGATCTACGATTTTGATAAAATACTTATATATGAAATTTCATCAACCTAGCTGTAACGGTACTCAAGTTATCGTGTTTACACACGGACACACACACACACACACACAGACATACGGACAAGATTGCAAAATTATGTTTTTCCGTATCAGTGAGATGTAAAACGTCGAGATTTGCAAAAAATCTCGATTTTTTTTTTGCACGATTACAAGACTTTCTCTATACTTCGTATATACGAGAAAGTAAAAAGGTAAACTTACGCGAAAATGCCTATTCTTTCAAATTAATTTTTTATCCCAAATTAGCAAGTTCCATAGTTAAACAAACAAAGATTTCTATAAAATATATTTACACCGGTGTTCGATAATGGAATATTCTTTAAAGGTTACTGGTAGTTAACTAAATACTTAGTAAATACATACTTGGCTGACTAATGTCAATGCTAACCCTGTCCCTAACCCTAGCTCCGGTCCTACCATACGCCTGACCCTAATTTCTAACCATAAAATTAGTCGAGATTACAATACTACTAACAACCCAACACCCCTTTTTTGAAGAAGATTCCATTATCGGACACCGGTATCTATAAATCATCCGAGTCTAAATCTAGATCTTAACGACTTACTTCTACGTCTAGTTTTTGCGTAGATTTAGATCTAGTCTAGATCTAGAATCCAAATAGATAAAATAAATTTTATAAGTTTAGGCCGGAAAAATTGTATTGTATACATTTCATAGCGTACGTTGATCTAGATCTAAATCGAATTTGAATGAAATAGTGCATTTCTTTTTATTCTAAACTCGGCAGATGACGTCATTAGTTATTGTATAAACATTAATGACGACATTGTATCATGGGTTCTTTTTCACAACTATAAACGCTTTTCCTGTTGCATAATTAAAACTGTTTTTCTACATTCGAATATGCCTTTATTTTTTGTTTTTCTTCTTTAAATAAAATGTTGGGTATACATTTAAAACATCTACCATATTATTTTCAACCAGGGGGTCGGCGTGGTCGAATCGGTAAAGCTCATGGTTGCTGCCTTGTAGTTTGTTCTTGGTTGGACAAAGGCTATGGAAGCAAATCCAAAAAGAAAAGCAGGATTAATTGTGTTGGAGGCGTGGTCGAGTCGGCAAAAAGGTCATGGTTGATAAATTTGAACATAGTCTCGAGTTCAAACGCACTGGCAGATAAATCTCGATTATGGGTCTCTTCTCGAATATTAGTAAAGGTATAAAATAGGTACTAAAGTACTAAAGTGACCCACGCTTTTCTTTATAGTGATTTAAATAGTAGTGTATAATTTATTTTCTACTTTTTAGTGCATTAGTACATAAAAGCTTGTTATTAAAACATTTTTTTATGAATTTGTTTTAAAAAATTGAGTATTTAAAATGGATTAAAAATCATGTCTAGAAGTCTATATCCCGAGTTGCCATCCCCCGTAGTGTTATATTAGAATATTCGAGAAAATTTAGGGGAGATCACTCCCGGTTTATTTATAATTGTAGCGCCATAGCGGCGACTACTGGTAATCACGGACCATCATCTGCAGTTCCAAAACCCCACGTCCACCCCCAAAATATAATGAATCGGATTGCCCCAAGTTCTTGGAGG